GACCACTTCAAAGTTTCATGTAAAAAAAAAGAAAATCAAACTCATTAACCCATACTCACTTCCAAGCTACATACCTTCAAAATTTCATGTAAAAAAAAAAAATAATCAAATTCATTAACCCATACTTCCAAGCTACATGCATGCATATGTATGTTTGGGCCGGACAAAAACTGGCTTGGGCCCAAATTTGCCCCGGAATTAAAGCCGGAGGCATTAAAGTTTTTACTAAACTAGGCCTTGAAATGACACTAAAGCCAGGGGCACTAAAGTGTACGCTTGTCCAATTGTCAATCTTACATGTCGGTAAATCTTAAAAAAGAAAAGAAAAGAAATACACCCAATTGTGACCTTTAACCTAACATGTAGCCAGATGTTAAGTGTGGCCTGAACTTTACTGTACCGATCGAGACACAACTTGCCAACCCTAAATGTAGCCGCCATCAGATCATATAAAAGAAAGAAAGAAAATACACTAGATTGCCAGCCTCACATGTGTGGGAAAAGAAAAACATGCACACATGCACCAAAAGGAAAGCAAAATATAGAAAAAATATGCATGGACGTTAGGCAAAGTTGATGTGGTGTGGTTTTACGAAAGAAGGTAGCAAATAGAGTTTTGATCGACTGATCACCAACCTCAACAATAAATAATCACTTAAACAAAAAACTAAACAGAATAATTAAACAAAGAACTTATACCTATCATAAACCTTAGAAAAGAAAATATTAGAACAAAAACAAACAAATAACGAAGTCAATGGAAAAAGGGAAAAAAAAATAAAAAATTACTCACATCCTTGAACAGTTTATCTTAATTTACTCACATCCTTGAACACTCCACAATAAATAATCACTCAAACAAAACAATAAACACAAGAAATAAATAAAAGAATTAAACGAAGAACTTCTACTTATCATAAACCTTAGAAACAAAACAATAAACACAAGAAATAAACAAAAGAATTAAACGAAATAAACGAAGAACTTCTACTTATCATAAACAAAATAATAAACACAAGAAATAAACAAAATAATAAACTTATCATAAACGCTAAACAATAAACTTATCGCAAACCCAAAACAAAACAAAACAATAAACTTATCATAAACCCAAAACTTATCATAAACTTATCATAAACTCAAAACAAAACAGTAAACTTAGCATAAACTTATCATAAACCCAAAACTTATCATAAACTTATCATAAACCCATAACTTATCATAAACTTATCATAAACAAAACTTATCAAAACAAAACAATAAACTTATCATAAACAAAACTTATCATAAACCTAAAACTTATAAAAACAAAACTTATCATAAACAAAACTTATCAAAACAAAACTTATCAAAACAAAACTTATCAAAACAAAACTTATAAAAAACAATAAACTTATGATAAGTTTATGATAAGCCTATCATAAACAAAACTTATGATAAGTTCATGATAAATTTATCATAAACAATAAACTTATGATAAATTTGTGATAAACAATAAACTTATGATAAGTTTATGATAAACAACAAACTTATGATAAGTTTATGATAAACTTATCATAAACAATAAACTTATGATAAACAATAAACTTATCATAAAAAATAAACTTATGATAAATTTAGTATAAACAATATACTTATGATAAACTTATTATAAATAATAAACTTATGATAAACTTATGATAGACTTATCATAAACAATAAACTTATGATAAATTTATAATAAACAATAAACTTAAGATAAACTTATGTTAAACTTATGATAAATAATAAACTTATGTTAAACTTATGATAAATAATAAACTTATGTTAAACTTATAATAAATAATAAACTTATGATAAACTTACGATAAACCAAAAACATTAAACTTATGATAAACAATAAACTTATGATAAACTTATGATAGACTTATGATAAACTATAAACTTATGATAAACATATCATAAACTTATTGTAAACAAAACTTATCATAAACCCATAACTTATCAAAACAAAACTTATCATGAACAATAAATTTATGATAAGTTTATGATAAGCTTATCATAAACAAAACTAAACAAAACTTATGATAAGTTCATGATAAACTTATCATAAATAATAAACTTATGATAAACTTATAATAAACAATAAACTTATCATAAACTTATGTCAAACTTATGATAAACAATAAACTTATGATAAATTTATGATAAACAAAAAACATTAAACTTATGATAAACAATAGACTTATAATAAAATTATAATAAACAATAAACTTATGATAAAGTTATAACAGATTTATGATAAACTATAAACTTATGATAAACTTATAATTTACATTATGATAAACCTATGATAAACTTATTATAAACAATAAACTTATGATAAACTTATTATAAACAATAAACTTATGATAAACTGATGATAAACAATAAACTTATGATAAACAATAAACTTATCATAAATAATAAACTTATGATAAGTTTATCATAAACTTATGACAAGCATATCATAAACAAAACTGATCAAAACAAAACAAAACAAGAAACTTATCATAAACCCAAACCTTAACATAAACTTATCATAATTATCATAAACCCAAAACAAAACAATAAACTTATAACAAACCGGCAACAAAATAAACTTATCATTAACAAAACAATAACTTATCATAAACTCTAAAGAAAACAATAAACACAAGTAATAAACAAAAGAATTAAACGAAGAACTTCTACTTATCATAAACCTTAGAAACTTAGAAAATGGAAAAAAATAGAACAAAAAAAGCAAAAAAAAAAGAAGTTAACAGAAAAAGGGAAGAAAAAAAAAAAGAAAAAAAAAATCTACATCAGCTTATCATAATTTACTCGTATACTTAACATCAACTTATCATAATTTACTCGTATACTTAACATCAACTTATCAAAATTTACTCACATTCTTGAACGTTTCCCTTAAATGATCTGATTTTGATTTTCTTTCGTCATCTTCCTCCCCATCCCAAAACGACGAGAGATCCCCATAAACCATGATCTCTTTGCAGAAACTTCCCAAGTTTTTCTCTTCTTTTATCTATAAAACATAGAAGAAAAAAAAGAAAACTGTCTTTATAAAAGAAAAATAAAAAAAAACATAAACAAATATCAAATTAGGAGCAATTCTTCTTCTCTTCTCGTTAACTTTAGCATCCAAGTTTTGTCTTTTGTTGTGATTTTAGGGAGGGAAACTAACAAAAAAACAAAAAAAATAACAACTAATAATCTCAACTAGCACCAAATCGAGGGGATAAAACAGATATTTAGAGAAAAGGAGAGTTTGTTTAATAAAAGAACCGGCTGCCGAAAACAACATATGACCTCATCATCGGAAGTTCGTTGAGGAATCTTATATTTTCACGACACAATTTTAAGTTTCATTATATAAATAGATATTAATTATGAGAAAATTACTCTAATTAGATATGAAAATGAATAGTAATCCTTTTATAGAGAGGAAATTAAATGATAACTGTTAAGAAACAGCTTCAACGGTTTAGAGGGATTATATTTGGGTGAATAAATATTGAGGGGGGTTTCAATAAAC